CTGTAGATGAATAGGTAATGGATTGTTTTAGCCTGAGTGATCTGGTAGCTGTAGATGAATAGGTAATGGATTGTTCTAGTCTGAGTGATCTGGTACCTGTAGATGAATAGGTAATGGATGGTGCTAGTCTGAGTGATCTGGTACCTGTAGAGGAATAGGTAATGGATTGTGTTAGTCTGAGTGATCAGGTAGCTGTAGAGGAATAGGTAATGGATTGTGTTATTCTGAGTGATCTCATAGCTGTAGATGAATAGGTAATGGATTGTGTTAGTCTGAGTGATCTCATAGCTGTAGATGAATAGGTAATGGATTGTTTTAGCCTGAGTGATCTCATAGCTGTAGATGAATAGGTAATGGATTGTGTTAGTCTGAGTGATCTCATAGCTGTAGATGAATAGGTAATGGATTGTTTTAGCCTGAGTGATCTGGTAGCTGTAGATGAATAGGTAATGGATTGTGTTAGCCTGAGTGATCTCATAGCTGTAGATGAACAGGTAATGGATTGTGTTAGTCTGAGTGATCTCATAGCTGTAGATGAATAGGTAATGGATTGTTTTAGCCTGAGTGATCTGGGTGCTGTAGATAAATAGGTAATGGATTGTGTTATTCTGAGTGATCTGGTAGCTGTAGAGGAATAGGTAATGGATTGTTTTAGCCTGAGTGATCTCATAGCTGTAGATGAATAGGTAATGGATTGTGTTAGTCTGAGTGATCTCGTAGCTGTAGATGAATAGGTAATGGATTGTGTTAGTCTGAGTGATCTCGTAGCTGTGGATGAATAGGTAATGGATTGTGTTAGTCTGAGTGATCAGGTAGCTGTAGAGGAATAGGTAATGGATTGTGTTAGTCTGAGTGATCTCATAGCTGTAGATGAATAGGTAATGGATTGTGTTAGTCTGAGTGATCTCATAGCTGTAGATGAATAGGTAATGGATTGTTTTAGCCTGAGTGATCTCATAGCTGTAGATGAATAGGTAATGGATTGTGTTAGTCTGAGTGATCTCATAGCTGTAGATGAATAGGTAATGGATTGTTTTAGCCTGAGTGATCTGGTAGCTGTAGATGAATAGGTAATGGATTGTGTTAGCCTGAGTGATCTGGTAGCTGTAGATAAATAGGTAATGGATTGTGTTATTCTGAGTGATCTCATAGCTGTAGAGGAATAGGTAATGGATTGTTTTAGCCTGAGTGATCTCATAGCTGTAGATGAATAGGTAATGGATTGTGTTAGTCTGAGTGATCTCGTAGCTGTAGATGAATAGGTAATGGATTGTGTTAGTCTGAGTGATCTCGTAGCTGTGGATGAATAGGTAATGGATTGTGTTAGTCTGAGTGATCAGGTAGCTGTAGAGGAATAGGTAATGGATTGTGTTATTCTGAGTGATCTCATAGCTGTAGATGAATAGGTAATGGATTGTGTTAGTCTGAGTGATCTCATAGCTGTAGATGAATAGGTAATGGATTGTTTTAGCCTGAGTGATCTCATAGCTGTAGATGAATAGGTAATGGATTGTGTTAGTCTGAGTGATCTCATAGCTGTAGATGAATAGGTAATGGATTGTTTTAGCCTGAGTGATCTGGTAGCTGTAGATGAATAGGTAATGGATTGTGTTAGCCTGAGTGATCTCATAGCTGTAGATGAATAGGTAATGGATTGTGTTAGTCTGAGTGATCTCATAGCTGTAGATGAATAGGTAATGGATTGTTTTAGCCTGAGTGATCTGGTAGCTGTAGATGAATAGGTAATGGATTGTTTTAGCCTGAGTGATCTGGTACCTGTAGAGGAATAGGTAATGGATTGTGTTATTCTGAGTGATCTGGTAGCTGTAGAGGAATAGGTAATGGATTGTTTTAGCCTGAGTGATCTCATAGCTGTAGATGAATAGGTAAGGATTGTGTTAGTCTGAGTGATCTCGTAGCTGTAGATGAATAGGTAATGGATTGTGTTAGTCTGAGTGATCTCGTAGCTGTGGATGAATAGGTAATGGATTGTGTTAGTCTGAGTGATCTGGTAGCTGTGGATGAATAGGTAATGGATTGTGTTAGTCTGAGTGATCAGGTAGCTGTAGATGAATAGGTAATGGATTGTTTTAGCCTGAGTGATCTCATAGCTGTGGATGAATAGGTAATGGATTTTGTTAGTCTGAGTGATCTCATAGCTGTAGATGAATAGGTAATGGATTGTTTTAGCCTGAGTGATCTCATAGCTGTAGATGAATAGGTAATGGATTGTGTTATTCTGAGTGATCTGGTAGCTGTAGATGAATAGGTAATGAATTGTTTTAGCCTGAGTGATCTCATAGCTGTAGAGGAATAGGTAATGGATTGTGTTATTCTGAGTGATCTGGTAGCTGTAGATGAATAGGTAATGAATTGTTTTAGTCTGAGTGATCTCATAGCTGTGGATGAATAGGTAATGGATTGTTTTAGCCTGAGTGATCTGGTTGCTGTAGATGAATAGGTAATGGATTGTTTTAGCCTGAGTGATCTGGTAGTTGTGGATGAATAGGTAATGGATTGTGTTATTCTGAGTGATCTGGTAGCTGTAGAGGAATAGGTAATGGATTGTGTTAGTCTGAGTGATCTGGTAGCTGTGGATGAATAGGTAATGGATTGTTTTAGTCTGAGTGATCTGGTAGCTGTGGATGAATAGGTAATGGATTGTGTTAGTCTGAGTGATCTGGTACCTGTAGATGAATAGGTAATGGATTGTTCTAGTCTGAGTGATCTGGTACCTGTAGATGAATAAGTAATGGATTGTTTTAGTCTGAGTGATCTGGTAGCTGTGGATGAATAGGTAATGGATTGTGTTAGTCTGAGTGATCTGGTACCTGTAGATGAATAGGTAATGGATTGTTCTAGTCTGAGTGATCTGGTACCTGTAGATGAATAAGTAATGGATTGTTTTAGTCTGAGTGATCTGGTAGCTGTGGATGAATAGGTAATGGATTGTGTTAGTCTGAGTGATCTGGTACCTGTAGATGAATAGGTAATGGATTGTGTTAGTCTGAGTGATCTGGTACCTGTAGATGAATAGGTAATGGATTGTGTTATTCTGAGTGATCTGGTAGCTGTAGAGGAATAGGTAATGGATTGTTCTAGCCTGAGTGATCTGGTACCTGTAGATGAATAGGTAATGGATTGTTTTAGCCTGAGTGATCTGGTAGCTGTAGATGAATAGGTAATGGATTGTTTTAGCCTGAGTGATCTGGTAGCTGTAGATGAATAGGTAATGGATTGTTTTAGCCTGAGTGATCTGGTAGCTATAGAGGAATAGGTAATGGATTGTTTTAGCCTGAGTGATCTGGTAGCTGTAGATGAATAGGTAATGGATTGTTCTAGTCTGAGTGATCTGGTACCTGTAGATGAATAGGTAATGGATCGTGTTAGTCTGAGTGATCTGGGAGCTGTAGAGGAATAGGTAATGGATTGTTCTAGTCTGAGTGATCTGGTACCTGTAGATGAATAGGTAATGGATTGTGTTAGTCTGAGTGATCTGGTACCTGTAGAGGAATAGGTAATGGATTGTGTTAGTCTGAGTGATCTGGTACCTGTAGAGGAATAGGTAATGGATTGTGTTAGTCTGAGTGATCTGGGAGCTGTAGAGGAATAGGTAATGGATTGTGTTAGTCTGAGTGATCTGGGAGCTGTAGAGGAATAGGTAATGGATTGTGTTAGTCTGAGTCAGCTCTCAGTTCTAAATTTAAACTCTGCTAAGGTGATGTTCCAGCCTGATCGACTGGCCGATCAAACAGTGCTTTAGCAGACTGACTAATCAATGCTAATGCTCTGCAGGTTATTTCTGCATATCTGACCTCCACAGAACCGTTCTGGTTCTGTTCAGTTCTCATACGTAAATCTGATCTTATATTACAGTATTTTGATCCTGAAATATCTGCGTGTCTCAGACTCTCCAGAGAATCAGCCTTAGCAGTATGAGCAGCGTGAGCAGGTGAGCGTGTCCAGGTGAGTCTGCTGAGCCGCGTACCTGTCAGCAGTTCGTCCGAGTCCAGTTGGGCTCGGTTCGTCTTAGCGATGTGCTCCACGATCCGCTTCGCTCTACAGTACTGCTGAGTCGCCAACAACCAGCGCAGGGACTCTGGGAAAAGCCTGAGAGCAGGAGACACACCGATCAACTACCAACCAGCAAACTACGCTAAACTAGGAAAGCAACGCTAAACTACCTTAACAAATTAGAAAACTACAGTAAACTGTCCAGTTAAATTTCATTAGAACCAGAATTCAATTCCTTTAAAACTTCTTGATTTGATTCAGATTTAGATCAGTTTTGATCCAGATTTAGATCAGATTTGATTTAGATTTACATCTGATCTGGTTCAGATTTAGATGAGACTTGATTCAGATTTAGATCAGTTTTGATCCAGATTAAGATCAGATTTGTTTCAGATGTAGATCAGATTTGATTCAGATTTACATTTAATCTGGTTCAGATTTAGATCAGACTTGATTCAGATTTACATCTGATCTGGTTCAGATTTAGATCAGTTTTGGTTCAGATTTAGATCAGTTTTGGTTCAGATTTAGATCAGATTTGATTCAGATTTACATTTGATCTGGTTCAGGTTTAGATCAGATTTGATTCAGATTTAGATCAGACTTGATTCAGATTTAGATCAGACTTGATTCAGATTTGGATCTGATCTGATTGGGATTTTGTTTAGATTTGATTCAGATTTAGATCTGATTCAGTTTTGATTCAGATTTGGTTCAGATTCATATTCAGAGCAGTAGGAGGGAGATGATCTCACCATATGTAGGTTAGCATTAGCAGCAGTGGGCAGATGATCACGGCCTGCAGGACCTGCCAGTCTCGACACAGCGCGGCCAGCCCGGGCATCAGCAGCTGACCAGCCAGCATCAGGAAGTTTGCCACCATCGTCATGGAGAACCGCCAGCCAGGTAAACACAGCTCAATCCCTGATAAACAAACAAAAACGAGTAAACAAAAACGAGTAAACAAACACGCAACAGCAGGCGCTCACTGATCTGAGACTAGCATTCATGCTAACACGAGGGAACCACACCACCATTACGATCGCTATGAGTGATCAGAACAGCTGTTCATCAATAATCAGTGATCAGCATTAAAACGTGATCATGCTAACATACATGACAACAGCCTTGGCGTCCCCTACCTGGCTAGCTAACTCCTTTAGCATGGCTCGTTTAGCATGGCTCGTTTAGCATGACTCACTATAAAGTGAAGCCTTTTAAAAGGGGTCAGTTCACTGGTGATGTACTTAGTAATTCCTCCTGCTCTAGTGTTGGTGGTTCTGTTAGAGAACCTCAGAGTGGAACCTGCGGATCTCAGGCTGAACATCTCAATCAGGAGTTCAGCTCAGAGAGGATCACCTACAGGGCTGGACAGAGACGAGCCAGGAGAGAGGACGGACACGCTGCAGCGCTGAGGACAGCGTCAGCGTTACTGTGTTAGAGTTCAGATCAGACTGAAAAATATCATAAGATACTTGAAGACATTTCATTTCACGATGTTTGAGAGGTAAAATGAGGTAAAATGTGTGAAAAGTGTTGCATTTAAAAACTGAAAACACTGATTTCACAGTAAATCAGGTTAAACAGCAGCGGTTATTCAATGAAACAGGCAGAACCTCCCCTTTAAAGACCTTCTGATGATGCATGCTGAAGGTGGGAGGAGCTGCTGAGGAACGACAGCAGGTCTCAGTGGGATTTTAAGGCTGAACGTAGGTCAGCGGTTAGCTAGCGTTACTGTATAGCTGCAGGGACTGACTTCAGATCATTGTTACAGTGGAGAGAACCAATCAAACCACAGAACCCACTGACCAACAGGACCAGCTGACAGCTAACGTTAGCGAGCTAGCCGGGCTGTGCAGATCTCGGCCCTCGGTCCGGCTCTGAGGCCTCTCTGAGGGTTTAAACTCCACTCTACAGTTCACACTGCAGAAAAGGTGTCTGTTCAGCTGAACTGACCCCAAATCTAGTGGAGGTGTCTGATGTTCCTCAGGCTGAGCTTGAAGAACATTATTATATTACTATAATCTAAGAACAGCTTTTAAGATTTTAAGGGTTAAATAACCTTATAATAAACTAAGAATAATCTCAAAATTAGTAATATTAGTAATATTAGAATAATATTTTAATAAGATAATGAGAAGATTAAGATAATAAGATAGGATTAATAAGATAATGAGAAGATTAATAAGATAATGAGAAGATTAATAAGATAATGAGCAGATTAATAAGATAATGAGAAGATAATGAGCAGATTAATAAGATAATGAGCAGATTAATAAGATAATGAGCAGATTAATAAAATAATGAGCAGATTAATACGATAATGAGCAGATTAATAAGATAATGAGAAGATAATGAGCAGATTAATACGATAATGAGCAGATTTAGTTTTCCGTGTGTCCAGTGTTGAATAAAGAGAAGCTCTGCTGTGTTCGGTAACCGAGGTTAGGGTTATGCTAACGCTAGCTTGGCTATGTTTATTAGCCTGTAGCTCGGTGGGTAACAGTCAGGACTGGGAGACACCACAGGGGCTCCTAACGGCTGTATGATGTAATTGCGTAAGGCATGCTGGGTAATGTAGTGAGTGATGAGTGAAAGCATGAAAGCGATGTGAAACAGTGAACTGGGTCTGATCAATGAGGCTGAGGGAGGAAACAGAGCCGAGGACGAGGTCTGAGTTCAGGCCGAAGATGATGAGATCTGATGACCTCAGCTGGACGTAGTGCTACTTTTTTAAACGTCATTTATTTTAATCATGATATCGGCATCAAACGACGACTCGCTCAAACACTCCGACGGTGCAGAGAGACTCTTCCTCAGTTCAACCTTTATTAGACAGTGGAGCTCAGAGCTCACTTTAATAAACATCTGAAAACGCAGCTCTTTAACTCAGAGCTTCAGTAAAACTCTACGACTCTTTAACTCAGAGCTTCAGTAAAACTCTACGGCTCTTTAACTCGGAGCTTCAGTAAAACTCTACGACTCTTTAACTCGGAGCTTCATTAAACTCTACGACTCTTTAACTCGGAGCTTCAGTAAAACTCTACGACTCTTTAACTCAGAGCTTCAGTAAAACTCTACGACTCTTTAACTCAGAGCTTCAGTAAAACTCTACGGCTCTTTAACTCAGAGCTTCAGTAAAACTCTACGGCTCTTTAACTCAGAGCTTCAGTAAAACTCTACGGCTCTTTAACTCGGAGCTTCATTAAACTCTACGACTCTTTAACTCGGAGCTTCAGTAAAACTCTACGGCTCTTTAACTCGGAGCTTCATTAAACTCTACGGCTCTTTAACTCGGAGCTTCATTAAACTCTACGACTCTTTAACTCGGAGCTTCAGTAAAACTCTACGACTCTTTAACTCAGAGCTTCATTAAACTCTACGGCTCTTTAACTCGGAGCTTCATTAAACTCTACGACTCTTTAACTCAGAGCTTCAGTAAAACTCTACGACTCTTTGATCTTTATCTCTTTAATCTGATCTTATATGATTTTAAGTTAATGCTCATAATTTTTTTCTCTCACTGTTTAACTTTATCTCCTGTCTGTAAAGCAGTTTCAGCTTCTACCAGCATGAAAAGTGCTCTATAAATAAAGATGATGACTATTATTATTAATATTATTATTAATATTATTATTATTATTATTTATCACTTTTCTTCTGTGTACAGCTGTTCTGGATCATTATTGTGTATTTCTGATCAGACTGAATGTAGAGTTGATTATATTATTATTCTCTGTATTATGATGTTGTATTTCAGTAAGTTGGTGGTGGTCAGTGTTGAGCTGCCACTGAGCTGAGTGGTCAGTCAGTGTGGTCAGTGCTGGTGTTCTGTTCGAACAGCTGCAGTGTGATCAGTAGAACACAGCGTTCTCTCAGCGTTCTCTGGCAGTGTTCCCTCAGCTCATCACCAGGGGGAGCACTGGCCGCGTATCTGTGTATGAGTGTGAGCGTCCACTCTCAGACTTTGACCTTCAGAGTCACATGAGCAGCTCGTGGCTTCGTGCCAAAGTCTCACATATTCAGATCCACTCCACACTGGGTCTGTATGTCACTCGCCCCCCTCCTCTCTCTCTCTCTCACTCACTCAGCGTTTTACTGACCTTAAAGGGAAAGTCCACCAACTGTGAGGCAAAATAGTCCCAAAGAAAACTTATTATTTCAGATTTTCCACTATTTTCCATCATCAACATTCCATATAAACTCAGAAGACTCATGTAGGTTCACTGGTGGTTCTGGATAGTAAATAAAATGTCTATATTTGAATCACTCTGTTTACATCTCACACACTGAATTATGGGGAATTTTGGAAAATGGGTGGAGTTCCCCTTTAAATCTGTTCGTATACTGTCAGTAAAGCGTCTGCATGTTCAGACTGGTCGAACACTCAGGAGATCTAATGAAACACCCACACTCATCTACTCTCTCTCTCTCTCTCTCTCTCTCTCTCTGTCTCTCTCCCTCCTTCTCTGTCTCTCTCTCTCTCTCTCTGTCTCTCTCCCTCCTTCTCTGTCTCTCTCTCTCTCTCTCTCTCTCTGTCTCTCATCCTCCTTCTCTGTCTCACTCTCTCTCTGTCTCACTCTCTCTCTCTGTCTCTCTCTCTGTCTCTCTGTCTCTCTCTCTCTCTCTCTGTCTCTCTCTGTCTCTCTCTCTCTGTCTCTCTGTCTCTCTCTCTCTCTCTCTGTCTCTCTCTGTCTCTCTCTTCTCTCTCTCTGTCTCTCTCTCTACCGGCGTTTTGCTGGGAGCATGGCGTCCCAAAGCCCCAGGCTGTATGAAAGCCTGTCTCGCCGGCATGGTGTAAAGGTAGAGTGCCGCGCGAGTGTGGAGGAGTGCTGTTTGGCGGCGGGGAGCGTCGTCGGGTACAATAATACTGTGTCTGCTTCGCGCATGAACAGCGCTGTGGTGATGTTCCTGTCCACTGTGGACAAAGCCAACGAGCTGGTGCAGAGTGGACTCGTGATTAGTGATCAGTTCGTGTCTGTTCTGCCCCTCAGTACTCCGTCCAAAAAGATCATTTTGTCCAACGTCCCCCCGTTTATCTCTGACGAGCTGATCGCTCAGGAGCTGTCCCGGTTTGGAAAACTTGTCTCCCCCATTAAAAAGATCCCCCTCGACTGTAAATCGCCCCTGGTGAAGCACCTGGTGTCATTCAGGAGGTTGGTGTTCATGGTGCTGAGAGACGGTGAGGACGAGCTGGACCTGGTGCTGAAGTTCAGAGTGGAGGGGTTCGAGTACACGGTGTTTGTGTCGTCTGACACCAACATGAAGTGCTTCAGGTGCGGCCTGACCGGACATCTCGTCCGAGCCTGCCCTGAAAAACTCGGCGCTAACGCTAATGATGCCGGGAGCGCGGAGCGGCGTGGAGGTGGCCGTCCCCCCTGCGGCTGCGCGGGACCCGGCGGCTGCGGCCGTGCCAGCCTCGGAAATGTCTGCTGGGGCTGCGCCGGCCACGGACGAGCCTTTCCCCGCGGTGCTAACGCTAATGTCAGAGTGGCGAGTCTGAACATTAATGGGGCGAGAGACTGTGGTAAAAGAGCAAAGCTATATGAGTTGGTGAAGCAGAAGAGACTTGATGTTATATTTGTACAGGAAACACATAGTGACGTCAGTAACACTGCAGACTGGGCTAAAGAGTGGGAGGGGCTTGCCTTTTTAAGTCATAACTCTTCTTCCAGTGGTGGGGTGGCTGTTCTTTTATCACAGAGTTTTACTCCTTATTCTTATTCAGTGGATGAAGTTTTAAATGGCACACTTTTAAAAGTGACAGCGTGTTTTGAAAACACTGTTTTTGTTTTTATTTGTGTTTACGCCCCAACTGGGGGGATGGACAGGATGTCCTTTTTGGATACTCTGGACACCGTAATTGCAGGTTGTGGTTCTGATGAGTTTTTTCTAAAATACAAATTAAAGTATTCTGTCAGCAG